TTCATGGTAAACATTTCTAAAGGTGCTGTTAGCATGAAACTTTCATCAGGTGTCGGTAAATAACCGAGCAATCCATAAATACAAAGAAAACAAAAATAAATAAATTCAGAAATGAAGCAACACATTCCATCTAGAAATAAATACAAAAAAATCTATTTACTTTTAACTTGAGTAGGTTAAATAAAACAGTTTGCCAATGGAATGAGGATTTTTGAAAAAAAAAAAATGATTCCTTTAGATTATTTTTTTTTGCAGTTAAGGCAAGATTTCTGACAGAGGAGAGAGGATTTGTCAGATAAGTTGTCAAGAGCAAAGGATAACTTGTGAAAAGCTTCAGAAAAAAAGCTAATTTAAAAAGAAATACTTTAAATGCATTTTTTAGGTTTTTTGTCCTTATTTTTTTTGTTTATTATTTTTTTTTAGGGTTTTTTGTCTTTATTTTTTTTATTATTTTTTTTTTAGGGTTTTTTGTCTTTATTTTTATTATTATTATTTTTTTTAGGGTTTTTTGTCTTTATTTTTTTATTATTATTTTTTTTAGGGTTTTTTGTCTTTATTTTTTTTATTTTTTTTTTAGGCTTTTTTGTCTTTATTTTTTTTATTATTATTTTTTTAGGGTTTTTTGTCTTTATTTTTTTTATTATTATTTTTTTTTAGGGTTTTTTGTCTTTATTTTTTTATTATTATTTTTTTTTAGGGTTTTTTGTCTTTATTTTTTTATTATTATTTTTTTTAGGCTTTTTTGTCTTTATTTTTTTTATTATTTTTTTTAGGCTTTTTTGTCTTTATTTTTTTATTATTATTTTTTTAGGGTTTTTTGTCTTTATTTTTTTATTATTATTTTTTTTAGGCTTTTTTGTCTTTATTGACATTCTGTATTTATTTGTATTTCTGCAGTGAAGGACTTTGGTCAATGCAAAGTATTACAGGAAAAGGCTAAATTAATAAAGTTTGATTTGAACTGTTAAAAACCAACTCTTGAAGAGAACCAAAAGATGCGTAACTTCCAAGGAACAGGTGTGATCAGCTGATTCCCGGAAAGCTTCCTTCGTATGAGGCAGCAGATGTTCTAAGTTAAGAGCTGGAACTGTTTCATCAGCAGGTTGCTTGTGATGATGAGGAGAATAATGAGCTCAAAAAGACAAGAGGACTTTCCTCTGCTAGTCTCAGCAGCTTAGAGAATAGCTCCATGTTCATTAGAGCTCCCAGAAGGAAAGCAGCTTCTAGGAAGCAAAACAAACACACCGCAGGACATGGAAACCTCAGAAAAATCCACATATGCTACCAACACTGCAAAAACCATCGAGAAATAAGTCAAAATGTCTTAAATTAAATGTATTTACCCTTAATTTGAGTAGGTAAATAAGATTAATTGCCAATGGGATGAGGATATTTACTCTTAAAATAAGATAATTAGATAATATGCACTTAAGACAAATAAGACAATGAATTTGTTT